CTAACATAAAACATATTATTAACATCTTTGGAATTCATATTAACATAAAAGAAGGAGTAGGGCTTATCATCTACCGCTTTATGATACATATTTAACAGTTGCTCTTTATCAACGATGGCGGAGTTTTCCTCAATGAATGACATTAACTCTGATACATTCTTTAACTTGAAGATATACAACGAACTAGAATTCAACCTAATGATTGGAGCAAGGACACGATATTTTTGAACACTTAAGCAAAAACTAATGGCGTCGTGTCTGCCTCTCGTTGCCAGTCCATGAAGTAACTTACTATATCTAACAAATTTAGGGTCGTCTGCAAAATCATCAACAATGATTAAAATTGAATGTAGTTTCTTCATCTTCTGTTCTTTCATATAATGAATTATCTTTCTTTGTGTGTTAATTATTTCTTCCAGTTCTTCAGGTTGGTAGGTGTCATAATATAACTTTTCTTTTTCGTCATCAACCTTCATATTATCTTTTTGGTATTTCTTGACTTCAACGAAGGTAGGGTCATTATGAACCGACGGGCTAAAAATGAATATACGGGCGAAGCAGTCCCTATAAACATTTAGGATAAGGTTTTGAATTAAAACTGTTTTGCCACCCGTTGATGAAGCAACAACAATTGAGCGAAAAGGTAGTTTTGGTACATGTTCATATTTAGATTGTTTGAAATCGTAATCAGTTATATTTATTGGTTTTATTATTGGAACATCAGACATAATAAAATAATATTAAAGTTATTTAGAAAATATTTTATATTTATTATTTTATATGAATAGAAGTTATTCGGATTATATTGATATAATAGATAAAGTAGAAAATATAGAACAAGTAATACTAACTGATAATAGATTTAAAAAAGTATGCTATTTTGTTTTAGAATTAATTAAGTTTGTGATACAATATATTAAAAATATAAATATTAATATAGATGGGGAGAAAGAAAAAGAATAAGACAGAATCAGTTGTTTCTTCAACTGATGAAGAAAAAGAAGAAATTGTTAAAGAAACATCAGTTATTGAGTTTGCTTGTCCAATGTGTAAAAAAATCTTAGAAATGAAAAATGAATTAGAAATACAAAAGAAAGGAAACTGTAAATGTTCGTGTATTCCGACAAGTTTCAAAATAAGTAGAAATGATAAGAAAATGAATATTGATAAAACTAAAGACAGTATAAACTTAGAAACAGATGTTCATAATATAGCTATACGATTTGGGAGGGGGGTTACTCCGTCAGATAATGGTGAAAAGGAAACTCAGGAAACTGTTAAACAAATAATGAAAAATTAGTATTTAAAGAGTAGATTTAACATAATTGCAACATTTAGTTTTAAAAGTTTAGTTTTATAATTTAGTATATATTTTACATGGCTGAAGGATTAGATAAGATTGTTAAACAACTAAAAAAGGTTTTAGAACAGAATAATAATATTTTGGAAATCTTACAAGAAATGGAAAAGAAGAAACCATTCACAAACAGTTATCAAAGTAAAGAAGTAGATAGAACCAGTGGCGAATTTAAAAATAAGAAACAAGTGTATTTAAACAAACTCAACAACAAAGAGATAAAAGAGCCGAAGTCCTCCACTATGGCATTTTATCAAATTGACTATGATGAAGATACAGGGGTTTATTCATAATATAACGATATATTGAGAAAATAAAAGACCGCACACATACATGTTTGATTTGTAATTGTTGTGTGTCTTGGAGGGCAAAAGCAAGACACGAAAAAACTTTGAAACACCAAAATTATTTAAACGAACTTAATAACAAAGAAATTACAGAACCGAAGCAATCAACAATGGATTATGACAAAATAGAATATGACAAGGAACTGAAACTTTATGTTTAATCATTAACTAACAAAATTTCGTGTCTCAAAAGCGGTTTGTTTATTCCTGCTACTTTGTAAGTTTTATTACCCATAATATCATATTCAATTTTATCGATATTGAATATTTTATTAGACCATTTAGAGTTATACTCCTTTCTGTCGGTGTAATTACCCCTTTTCTTTTGGAACACTTTTACCTTGTCGTTCTCCTCTATTCTGGGATACTTTCTTTTGTTTTTTTCTCGTAGTTTAAGATTGACCTTTACATTTATTTCATTGTCGTCCTTGTGTGCTTCAGACGGTGTCATCCTTGTTGATGAGTGTGATGTGCTGTTATACTGTTTCAATGCCGGCGTTAGGGCGTCGGTCCATTTCATGTTGTTAAACCTAACTCTATCGTGAATTTTGTTTTTCATCGTTCTAATAAAACGCTCGGCCACATTTGCGTGGGTCTTCGTGACGATGTGGTTTATTCCTTCACTGTTGAAGAAATCCTGAACTTGATTTTTAGTTGCAAACGCTCCGTCGTCATCAGAATACACGGACATCGGATAACCCATCTTTTTAAAGCTTGTTCTCAACGCCTTCAAAACGTGCTCTCCGTCTCTTTCCTCCATCGGTATTACATCTGCTAATTTACTGAAGATGTCAATCACGACTAAAGCATACTGTGGAACGTTCTTGTCTTTTGCTAAAGGTGACATATGCATTATGTCTATTTGATATTCATATCGTGCGAATGGAGCGGTATAGGAATTAGTACCTCTATAATTTTTGATTTGTTTATTTGGTTGTTTCTTTAAGAAAGACTTTACATCGTCTAATGTTATTGTTGGGTCTTCTTCCTTTGCCTTCTTGTGTGTCGCTTGTGTGCTTCCGAAACCCTCGTCTAAGTCGTAATAGATGTTGCTGATTATTTGGTCTTTTGTTAATCTCGCCATTATATTAAATTGTTAGAAAATATTTTTTCAATATAAAGCCCCACCCCTTAACATAAAATACAAACTACTTAAAGAAAAATGGATATAATATAGTAAGAAAAAAAATGACACTGTTTAATTATGATAATTGTCCATGTAAAAATAAAAAATGTAAGTCTGTCGTGGCACTAGCTAATATTTTACCTGTTAATGTGTGTAATCTTATAGGTGGTTATATTAAACCAACATGTTTTGATTGTTGGTATTTGAGAGATGAAGAAGAACATTTTATGAGAAATAAAGACATTCCCGAAGAAGGTCTGGAAAAAGCAGAGCTTCAGTTAAAGATTATTGAACAAATGCTAAATAACGATATTACTTGTCTAACAGTAATCCCTTTTGTTAACAAACAATACAGAAAAAGAATTGACAGAATATTTAATAAACAAGAGGTTAAAGAAAGATTTAAAACAAGAAAAATGTATTATCAAGGATTAAAATCATATTGTAAGAATAATCAAGAAGAAGTTACTGTACTTTTAAAAAATTGTCTTAAAATTGAAGAATTAAAGTTTATCAAAAATAGTGATTTGTTCTTTCCTAACCTAAACAATTGGTGGTCATATAGAAATAACAATTATTATATGAGAAACATATTAAGCGACTTAATTGAAATTTACACAGACCAATTAATAAAAGGATACGAGCATTATTGTTGTGAGTATAGTATGAGTTGTTATAGTGGTTGTATCGCTGGTGAGATTGAATACGGGTCAAATTAACTTTTGTTTATTAATATTATTATCTTATAATATGATTAAACATTGTTTTATAATCTAAAAAGAAGGTTAAGACATTTAAATTAAACCTGAAACCCAGACCAGCCGACCAGCAACCCCCTAGCCAAAACTACTTAAAGAAATATTACCTTATATATTAAGAGAAAAATGAACGGTGATGGAATCAATAATTATATCGATAAAAAATGCTATGATTGTTGTCACTTCAAAAAAGAAAATATGGAATTGTATAAATTGAGTTTACCTAATGAAATTGTGAATAATATTATTAATTATTCAATGGATGGTGAAGAAGACATATGTAAAAATTGTAAAACTTGGAGAGATAATCAATTTTTAATCAAATGTCTGTTGGGAATAAAAAGAATACATAATAGAAATGTAGAAGATGATATTTTAATATTTCTAACTGTAAATAAAATACCACCTTACGATTATGTTAAACAGTTTCTTAAAATCAGTAAGAAAAAATATGACACGATTTACGATATATTATGGATGTTGGGTTATAGTCAAGAGAAAGGAGAAGATGTTAAAGAAAATATCAAATTATTTATTGAAAGTAAAAAGTTTAATGTTCAGAATACAGTGAGAGATGTTAATATTATTTTTAAAATGATGTATGAAAGAAGTAAGACAAACCAATTAGATTATTATCCTGAACTGAAATTATAATCATAATATAATAATAACATGTAAAATCTTATATGTTATAATTATACTGAACTTTTAACCTATAAATGAAAATTAGTGAGAAAAACACTAACAAAACAAATACACCACCAACTCCCCAGAACTTGATAACTACTAAAAGGGTTAACTCTTTCAAATGAAACAAATGTTTGCCCCCAGCCCAACAATGAACAAGGGGGGCAATTACCAAAATGATTACCTTAACGAAAACGATAAATAAGCTCCCTAAAAACCCTCTTTTAAAAACGAATAAGGGGGAACACAGATTTGAGATGAACATAAAAACCAGAACAGGGGACCATCAACAGACCACCCCCCAGGCCCCCTACTTTTACCATTTTTTTGGGGGGGGGGGGGCATTTGAAAAAATAGGGGGTTGATCAAAAGGTCCGACGAAAATGGGACGACCATTGGGGAAAACAACTAAAATATGATAATTGCCACATGGGAAAAGTTACCCATGGTCATTTGGGGGCCAAACGGAATATTGATCAATCCCCATGTCTCAAAATGAACAGTTTAATACCCGGGGTCAACATCAGGGGGAATCTGAGTGGTTTACCCAACTCTGGCTTCCAACTACTAAAGCCACCTGGAAAAAGAACACATATCTCCAGTGGTGATAGACTCCCTTCAAAACCAAGAGGGGAAATAATAGTTGTAAAAAATGTCCGTTTCAGCAAAAGGACGCTGGGGCGTGCTCTGGGCTTCCCGTTTGGTCCCCTTTTCAATATCGGAGCTCAATCCGCGTCTCCCGCGCCGCGGCGCGAGGAGCTCTGGGTCAGCAGCAGCCAGCCCATGAAGGGCACCACCAGGCCCAGGAAGACCATGGCGCCATCCTGACGGATTTCCCACACCTCCATTTGCTTAAGACCCCGGGGGAAAAAAACATGCTTCCAGTAGTGATAGATTTCCTTTAAAACCAACAGGGGAAAATCAACAATATTCTTAAGCAAATGGAAGCAAAGAGAAAGCCATGGCAAACCAAATCAATCTGGGGGGTGACCAGTTCCTTTGGGCTCCTCGAGTGCTCCTCCTCGTTTGCTAGTCGGACAGGAGCAACTCAGCGCACACCAGTGTCCTGTTACCCACTTGAATCTTTGCTTTGTCGCTTGTGACCATACTTTTTTTGGAACAACTTGGGTAGGTTCACTTTATGACCATAGCTACAGATGGAATCGAGCAAACGGGTCTCGTTTAGCTCTTTGGTGGGGTGGTTGAAGTTCGGGCAGTGCAAAGGAATGGCCAATCCGACTTTCCATCATTCTTAGCGGCCGCTGCTCCCTAGGAAATCACGTCGTTGAAGAGGCCCTGTTGAAGAGTGTGTGTGTGTGTATGTGTGTCTGTGTTCGTGTGAACTTTCTAGGAGAACCCCCCAAAAATGTGGCTTTCCTTTTGGCTTCTTGTTTTAAACCAAACAAAAGCTTCCCGTGAACTTCCCCCTAAAAAGGCACCTAACAGGAAGTCTCCCGTGCGACGTCCTTCGGCTTGGTGGCCATGAGCTGCTGCAAGGACTCCCCGCCGGCCCGCGTCATCACCTGACGCATCTGCCGCGCGTCGAAGCCATGTGGTGACTTGGGTTTGTCTCTCTCTCAGTCACTTCCTGAGTGGACCCGAAATATGTCCAACATGTTTATCTACCACTAGAATGGTCTTCCCAAAAAGTGTGACGTCTCGGAACTGCGAAAGCGAGCAGATTCCGAAAGAACCAGCGAACCCCCCAAAAAGGTGGCATTTTGCTTCCTGCTACCACCACCAAGCAAAGGTATCAACTCAAGTCACCAATCACCCCTCCCCCTGGGTACCTTCCTTCCTTTTGTTTCAAATTGATGCTTGTATGTTTTTGCTTCTTTTCTGATCCTTACTTGTTTTCTGTTTGAGGCGTATGCCCCCCCTCCCCCCCCTCCCCCGGCCCAACCAACGACGTCCGGCCATCGCGCCAGGCGTCACCAGGCTCTCCACCGGCGCCGGAACCGCCATGCGCCACGCCGCCGAGGCCGCCTCCGCGCCTTGTAGCGCCGCCGCGGCGACGTGCGGCAGCCCGTGGGAGAGGCCCGCAGACAGGCACTGCTTCCTTCGAAGGGGAACTAGGTCCTCCAGTAGAGAGGTTGAACATTGCCTTGTAAATGGTGGTTTCCCTGTATTTTGGTGGAAAAAGCCATGTTTCAAAGGAGCAAAATGTACCTTTTAAGGAGCCCTGAATAAGGGTTCCCGATGTTTTTTCTGTAGTCTATTTTTTGTAGGGGAACCCTCCCCCAAAAAAGTTGGTAAAAGGGCACTACTGGGGGACCTAGGTAACACGTGGGTTTGTCTCACAGGCAAATGGTGGCACAGTTTGTCTCAAAACAGTCATAGGTGCATTGGTTCTAGCCGGATTATATATGCCGTACCTGCGTTCTAAGTAGCTTAAATATGCGAGAAACATGTATCGGTTCCATTCAAGGCCAACCAACATAGGTCCCCCCCCGAAACAAAACGTGCCATGAGCCGTTCAACAGCTGAGACCGCCAGAAAACAAATATAAAAAAAAAAAAAAAAAAAAAACGGAAGTCCAAGTAATCCCGCGGGCAAGGGAAACCAGTCTGAGAGGTGTGTTTAACGAATGTCGTACTTGCAGTCAACTCTACGACGTCTCCGACTTGAAATGAGAAATGCCATGGGCCATACCCAAGAAAGGGACCTTCCTTCATCATGGGTGGTCACGAACTCTGGGTAGGTCACAACACGTTTTCCCGAACATGTGTGTTGATTTCTGGTGTTGTTGGCTGGCCAGGAAGGGTGAAAAGATGTAGCACAACCCATTGGCTAAAGAAGCAAATCAGTTCCGCCCGCAGGTTGAGTACAACGCATGAGCTGTATCTATGTGCGGCCTTGTGTACCATTTGCATGGCTTCACATAAATTGCGTACTGCTGTGCACGTTCCATGCCATGGAAAGGTTTGTTGTGGGTTTACTCTTCGTCCTAGCAGTTGATCTGCAGTTGTTCCCTGATCCCTACCAGAGCAACCATATATTGAACATCACAGGCTTGTATCGGAAGCGATGCAGTCAAATCCCCATCGTTTGTGGGTTCGGTTGAGACATCGGGCACTCATTCAAGAAAGCCACCACTGGGCGTAGACAGCGGGCCACATCGGCAACAGGCCATCAGCGATCTGCATGGCGTTCGCCTCTTCGCGCAGGTCAAACTCGGCGAGGACGCTTTGCTCGCTCTTGCCCACAGCGTCAAACATGGCGGCGACGATGTTGGCCTGGCTTCTTTCGGTGCTTTCATCAAAGCCAGCATTCTGAGGGGTCAAGGAAGTTGAAACTCACCCAACACGAAACCTGCAAGTACCCTAATTATACGACCTGTACATCACATTTGCTATCCCAAGCCGACGTACACCGCAGGCACGAAATTCGCTAGCCAGGGACCGATTGAGCTTTGGATGGACAGTCACTCACACCTCTTCTTATCTGTTGCCTTCCCTTTTTTTGTTTCCCCTTGCCTGTGGCTCACCATCGCGATCAATGGGATCCATCCCAACACAGGTTTCTCACCAAAAAAAACGAAACAAAACCCACGGGCGGTGGGCTCCGGAGCCCATGATAGTGCTACCTTCCATTTCCATTCTTTCCAGGGATCCGGATCTTTCTAGACCTCCGGAAACCCAAGGGAAACGGATCCGGTTTGTGGAAAGAACGATGGTTGGAAAATTCCGGTAAAGGCGCCCTTGAGTGACCATGGCTAGCTTGTCCCGTGTGGGACATGTCATCTTTTTGTTGGTACCTTTGGATCAACGTTCTCCACTCCGCGGGCTCCTTCTCGTCGTTCAGCTTCAGGGCCCCCAGGATCTGCCGGGCATGGCCGAAGAGCCGGAAGTCGGTGTCAAAGCGCCGCCGCGCCTCGGGGAAGGTGACCTGGGCGTCTTCGGGGTTGATTCTTTCAAAAACAATGCTCTTTTCTTTTCCAAAAACCCGGGGGGTCTTTCTTTCTTTTCAACCATCGTTCTTTGCAAAAAATGGATCCGTTTTCCCTGGGTTTCCGGAGGTCTAGAAAGAAGGATCCCTGGAAAGAATGGGGAAGGTACCCCTAGAGTGTTGCGGGAAGTTGGGGAGGGTCGCGGGGAACTCAGTTGCCCAAATTCCCAGAAGTAAACGGTTCACCTTGTGGGGCCACTTAAAAATGGGCCAAAAGGGAAACTCAAAGGTGAAAGGTCAAGCGTTTCGACAACTCACCAACCCAGAATTTCAGAACTGCGTTTCGACCGTGTGTACGACTATTGCCAGTTGGAGCCCAGGCCGGGGATGCAAACACACATGTAGCCCAGGTCACCTCAGGTATCTCGACTCCGTTTCCCAGTAGCAATTTGGTGGCTCTGCCCAATGTCGTTCCCTTGACTACAAATCAAGGTTCAAATAACAGCCAATTGTGCTACCAATGGAAGATTTGCGAAATGCAAACTCTCTGGGGTAACGGTTACCCTGTCCAGAAGTGGAAAACTAACTTTCCAGAAGACTGATGTATGGGTGTGTGTCAACAGTCCAAATGGTTGGTTTGTCTCTTCCCTTAGGTACCCTGAAAAACTACACTCATGCTATGAATGGACAAACTCTATCAAAGTTGGCAGGCAGTTTATCCTAGTTGTCATAGGGTTTTATCCATTCCAACCAGTGCAAAATGGCTTTTGTCCATCCGCAGTATCACCCGCAACTGCTCTTGTTCATATCACTTGCATTGTCAGGTTTGCTTTGCCAGAATCACAAGAGCAACATGCGTGTAAAATTCGCCCCTACCATCAAACAGCCCCCGCAGGGTTCGACCCCTAAAAGAATGGTTGACCCATGTTAGATGAAGATAATGAAACTCCATAGGTAGACACTGGTTGTCATGTGGTTTGGGTTGTCTAAAGAGAAACCAAAGGCAAACCAACGAAGTTCACCGCTTTCGGAAAACGACAACCCTATACTCACCTGCCCAAATTACCCGAAACAAAAGATTAATCGTTGCCTTCGATAAAAAATGGCAATTTTTTGCAAACCAAAAGCTTAAAACTGTAAAAGGTCGATTCGCTTGGGGCAACTGAGTTTATACTAACCCCTAAAGTGGATGGACGAATTCCTGCACCACTTTGAAACCATGGTCGAAACCATAAGGTTGGTTGACATATAGGGAATCGAATCATTCCCTTGGGTTTCTGAGCTGTGGTGCGATTTCTGGATTTCGCAACCATCCACAGTATGTGTTTCTGCTTCGAAGATCCCACACCCCGTGATTTTTTTCCCCTTGGGTGCCACATTTTGGTGCATGTTTGTTTGAGCCAGCCATTTTGGTGCATGTTGATTGCCGTCATAGAAACCCCAGCAGTTTTCGGGTTCACAGGATCCCACCCATAGGTGTCCTAGGGGAAATAGATGGCCTTGGTAGATGATTAAACCAGGTAAACCAGGAATCGCCATCTATTTTTCTGCCAAAACAACCAAAAAGGACAGCTATGATCCCACAGCCTTAGACTCCGCGGGTTCCCGGGCCTTGAGCACCAGCTCAAGGCCATGGAGGCTCAGCGAGTGCACCTGCGCCACGGTGCCCGCGTTCAGCGCCGGGCCCAAGCCTCGAAATGGGCGTTTTGGGCGCCCGTTTGGAGGAGGTGCCCGGGCTTTCTTGGAATTTCAAGGGAGAAGAGTAAAAAAGAGCCATTTTTTGTTGGGGGGCAAGAGGTTGAAGGGCAAAGAAAAAGGAAACCACGGCATATTTCCATTTTTTAAGGGGTCCAACATGAAACAAGACACATATCAGAGTCGGTGTAATCCCTAGAGGAGGCTGTGGGCTGTGTAAACAAACTGTAATTTGAAGAGGTTGTTTACACAGTGATTTGAAGAGGTTGTTTAAACAGTGGTTCCATGAAGAAAACCTGAGCCCGCTAGCCCTGTTGGGTGCAAACAACGGAAGCACCAGGGATTGCCCGAGATTTCCCCAACGCTGTAATTTTTGGGTGCATGGCCCGAGTCAGAAGGCAAATCCGTGAGAGCGGGGCTTTACCCTTCCTCGAAATCCCGCCTGACCCGCCAGGCTTTGTGGCTACTAAACCGGACTTGTCAAGTATGTGCCCTTGTTCCATTTTCCATGAGTCCCTGTAAACAAGTCCATGCGACATAGCAAACCGATCTGCGCGTATGACTACGCAAAATTCACTAACAGGGCATGATGAGCGAATTCAAACCCTCATGGTTGAGCTCGCTTTCTTCTTCTTTTGAGTACCATGTCGCCAAAGCACTAAGTGGACAGCATGCATAGGGCATGCGGGTCAACTGGCTCTAGCGAAGACAGCTTGTCACCCTGACAGTTCCCCATGGCACAAGCCTCATTCAGGTCTCGTGGAGGACTTGCCCTTTGGACAAAAAAAGGTTCAGCGTCAGGAACCTCGTGCCCGGCAGAGTGGAAACTGCTGAGGTCTTGATGAACTTGCAAGCCCAACCTTCGAGCGGATTGGCAAACAACCTGTCCAAACTCGTTGGTTGTTACTTGTGGTCGTCTCCAAAGGCCAACAAAATCCAGGAATGCGGCCAGGAGCTATCGCAAAGCTGGTCTAGACCCTCCTGCCGCAGCACAGCCTGAACTTCCGCCGCTGGTCGGCTTGGCATGTCCTCGCGACAGAACACAAAGGCCAGCTGCGAGTGAAGTGTCGTTTGCAAAGCTGCGAGCCCCGTAGGCAAGCAGTTGTTTGCAAACGCTGGACCAGGTTCAACCGATTGGGGATGGCCCTTGGGCTTATTCATGAAAGCATGTTTTCTCTGAGAGCCAACAGACGCTGGAAGACGCCAGGTCAATGGTGAACCAACTGCGACTGAATCAAAGCCAAAAGTTCAAGACTTTGCCCTAGAATTTTCGCCAGCTAGGAGAACTGGGCGCCCCTCGAATTGTTTGGCGCAATTGCAACGAAAGTCCACCCAACCGAATCAAAAAAACAAGTTGGCATTAGGGCTTAGGGTTTAGGGTTTGCCAAGTTCAAGCGCGCGCCTCCACGCTTAAAGCGTCGGGGCGCCGCGCGCCGCGTTCAGCGACCTTCCCACCCCTGACCACCCAAACCTCAACCTTTAGGGCTCTTTTCGACCCTGGAAGTCTTCGATTTCCAAAGCTGTGAGCAACCTCTCGCGCGCGCCCGGGTTCTAGGCGCGGTCGCACAAATTTCCAGAAAGAGCGGCGGCGCCGTTCCCCATGGGTTTGTGTCGCAGTCTCCCGCGCACACGGCGCTCCCATCATTGGGATTGTGGGCCGAGCCATTTTGAGAAAGAGCAGTGGCGCCGTTCCCTATGGATTCCCGCGCGCGCGGCGCTCCCGTGATCGGGGTTGCGGGCCGAGCCATTTTGAGACAAGGCGGCAGCACCGTTCCCTATGGGTTTGTGTCGCAGTCTCCCGCGCACGCGGCACTCCCGTGATCGGGATTGCGGGCCGAGCATTTTGAGAAAGAGCGGCGGCGCCGTTCCCCTATGAGTTTGTGCCGCAATCTCCCGCGCACGCGGCACTTCCCTGACCGGGGCGCTCCCGTGATCAGGGTTGCGGGTCGGAAAGAGCGGCGGCGCCGCCCCGCAGCGCGCCGGCTTCCGAAGATAACCCCCGAAACAACGCTGCCAAAAATCCTGCATATATCTTCATCGAAGGGTCTTTCATTCTTGCAGCTTGTCTGGGATTTAATGTGTCGTCGTGAATTGCAGTGCAGTGAATAAAAGCCCTCACATCTCAGCTTGATCGCCTCAACCTCTACAGTTGTTTCCAGGAACCGAAAGGAAACCAACCATTTCTGGAGCGGTCTCCTAAAAAAGACGCACCCATATGTATTCTACACCAACCGAATTCATGTTAATTCAAGTTACGAATGCGACTCTGGCATGGTCGAGGCCCCCGCGCAGGCCGAGTACGTAAGTTGTTAGATGTGATGCGTTGCTCTGTGCCCCCAAGAATAGGCATTTCGGAAGACCGTCAAACGCGGAGCAAGCCGTCACAACATATAGATATTACATATATATATATATAGATTCTTAGTCACATGTAAAAATACAAGGCCCAATTGTATATCCATACAATGCTCTTTCATTTACACAATTCATCAAGCACATGGCTGTGGCACAACGGCATGGCCTCGTGCTTTCTTGGCGCGGGGTCCCTGAATCCATCACTTTCACGGCTTGGTCACGCTGCCAACAAATGTTGGCAAGTGCTCAAGTATATGTTAGAACAAGGTTATTCTCCCACCCTTTTCACATGGAACCTGACAGGGGTCCCTTTACAAGGAGAATGGTTTTCCAGAACCCCCCTGTCAGGTTCCATGTGAATTGGTGGGAGGTTCTCAGTGATGGTGATTTCTCTTTTGAGCACCTTGCCCCAAACGAGCTCCCGGTCTTGCCGCAGCTGCGTGTACGCTGCGTGTACGGCAATGTGCAAAGGTTTCCCAGGTAGAGGCCGGAAACCATCTAAGCTACCAAACGAATCATGTCTATCAACCGAAATGATGGTCATACAACCACGAATGAGCATAACAAATAAGTCATGACACGTGATCTTACAAGAAGCTTTCGTCCAAAAGCGACGGTGAGTGAACACAATCTGAGAATCATCCAGGCATACGTGGTCTGTTGGAAAAATGAATGGCCTTGGTGAATGGAATGAATTCGCCTCGCCGGCTTGCCAGTCACAATTCAGAACCTTTTCAGAATCCCCGACCCCATGTCGCGCGGCCAAATCCCTGCTCCAGCTGCCTCCAGCGCCTGAAGCGAACCTAGCAGCCACACCCGGGGCAGGGAGGTCGACCTCGGCAGATTCCCTGATCTCTTTGCAAATCCTTCAAAAAACCTGCCCTCTAAAAAAACGGTAGAAACTGGTCATGGCCGCTTCTAGAAGCCCAAAGGAGCCGGTCAACTTTTTATTTAGTTTGGGTTCCAAAAAATGGTGGTTGTCCTTGTTTACAATCACGAAAAAGGGTACCCTCAACAACTGACATACCCGTACTAATCCAAGATCCAGAAAAAAATTGCCGGCGCTCCTCCAAACAGCGGCTCAGCCCTTCAAGCACCTGCGGATCCTCGATAAGGTCGGCCCTGACTGAAAGGACCTGCAGTGCTCTCGAAAATACGTGCTTGAAGAGCTATCAATATACGTGCATTCGTGCGCGCTTGTGTGTGTGTCTATATTAAACACACACAAAAAAAAAATGTTATACATACTATGTATGTGTCCTCTGGTCCGGGTTTATGTGCGTAAGTACGTGAAGACGTATCATGGACACCTCAATCTACCTGTTTCTGATCTAGAATGAACTTGCACAACAATATGCATAGAGAGATACATCCCTGGAACGCCGTTTACAGCGGGCATGCATCTCATGCAAACGCAACGCAATTCTGTCCTCAGCATACACTCCTCATCAGCTCAATGGCCAACAAAGCAACAGCCTTGTTCTATGCCGTTGGAGGTTGCAAAGTCTATCAGGGCTATCAATAAAGCCTCAACGAATCGAGGAGTGACACCAACATACAGCGGCAGTGGAGCCAGTGGCTCATCTTCTGAGGCAGATCGAGTGCCATCCTTTGGGCCAACAGCCTATGCGGTGAGGACCGAATCCAAATGAGGGGAAAAGTTCCGGAGAGCCAAATCACGTCACGATGCCATTAAACCGAGATGTGGGATCCCCGAGTTGCCAATTGAAAAATGCTTCATTCAACAGACAAGCCAGCGAAGGAATCTTAGTCGGAAACCCTTTGGCGGACATCATGCAAATTGTAGTGATGTCCAGCAACCATCTTCTGCACCAAACCTCGTCGCCACCTGAGCTTAGAACGTCCATGATAGGATCTTTCACAATGGCTAAACATGGGGCCCTTCAGCTTGCTTTACCCCTTCGCTGTTTGTTGAAATACTTGTCGTGACAGACAAATGACGACCCGCTTCTTCGCACAGGGTCCAAAACAGAACCACGGGTGTATTAAAGCACGGGGCTTTGCTTCGACATGGAATCAACTCTGTTGAAGAATTCCGACTAGTTTTGACACATGCCCATATACTGTTTGTTTGCATTCTGGGCGGTAAACAAAGGGTCCGAAAACAAACAAAAACAGTTCTGGCTTCCTCCACACCAAGTCTTAAAACATCTTAAAACAAACAACCCATGGTGGTTCTTGTCTGCGACCACCCATGCGTAGCGCGCGCCTGCGCAAACTTGGGGAAGTACCCGCCGGCGCGCCGGATCCAGGCAGGAAAGAAGTCAGGGGCCAGCGGGCGGCGGCTGGTGAGCGCTCCGATGAGTCCGGGAAAGTCCTGAGCCAAGGAGCCTTGAGAGGGCCCTGTGCAATGGCTGTGTTGTTTCTGAGGGGACGTTTTATGTGGCCTGGAAAGCGAACCAAAAGAAACACCGAAGCCACTTTGGATTGCCCCCCCAAACAGATGACAAGAAACAACCAATTACGACCACAAAAAGCCAGAAAAGACTGTTTAAAACAGATCTCGTGGCATTGTCCCTTGCGCTCATGATTGCCAAAGATACGTGCTCCTTCCTCGGACCCGAGCTTGACCCCCAAGCTTGCCATAAACCAGACAAGCAGCTGGTTGTTTGGCTTAGACACGGAGCAACCACCGAATGGACATACGCTTTGAGTCAAAACTCCTATTGGTTCAACCTTCGACTCCGATTTCAATCTGGACTTCCCTTGCCCACTCGCAGAACGCGGCCAGGTCTGCGGAAATGCCCCTGATTTTGACACATACCCATCTAAGACGGCGCCTCTTGCAACCCAGGATAAGAATTGAGGATTACCTGTTGAACTGCCGTGCCATAGAAACAAGCATCAATGGGAGCGTCCAACATTCCCAGAAAAGCGGCAGGCTCTACATGTACATTGACAGGTGGTCTGTACCAAACGTCAGACAACCAGACCCTTTCGGTGTCGAAACCGATTTCGCGCTCGCCGAGCGGCGTGCTTCGCGATGAGGTCCGCCAGGCGTGCCGCTTGGCGGGGGTCGAAAGTGATGCGACCCAAGGCCTGGGCTAAGAAGAAGCCGCAGGAGGGGGGAAACCTCACATGAGAACCCCCAAATGAGTGGTTTCCTCGTGGTTTCCCTTGAACACCATCCAAAAAGGACACCCTCGAAAAAGACAGGGGTTCAAAGTTCATTGGATTCTAATTCTTTAGTATCTTGTAATTCCTTTCTATAAGCACTTAAAGTGTGTGCCTAAGAAGTGGGACCAGTTGGCAATTGTTTCAACCAGCCATCCCTCAGCGTCCCTGCCTCCGAAGGGCGCTTTTCTGGACACTCTTGCGGCTTGGGAACGTGGCTGAATCGATCGGGTTTTCGACTTGCCACGGATACGGATGCCCAGAATGCAGGCAACCACACACCATGACTGAATCTTGCCTTGGGTTTCCCTTGTAATTTAATATTGAGTTGGCATCCACCACTATCTTCACGTGGGAACTTGCATAGCCGTTGATTAAGGTGTGGAAGCCTAGGATCTCTGATGGGGAAGGATTCCTCTTGGTTTTCTGGAGCAAAGCAGGCCGGAAAAGGGCTGGACAGCTGCGCCCTGGTGTTGCTAGACTCCAAGATGTCCACGTGCAAAAACATGGTGCTGTTTCAATTGTATACGAAAGCGGTGTCTGGTTGTCACATTGACATGTGGTTTGCCCTACGCTGCAAAATCAACTCAGTATTGGTGTGTCTTTTTTAGGGCCCCCCAAAAACAAAACACAAAAAAACAACAACCGCAAGAAAGACACGGAGGCATGTTGTTTCCTGTTGAACTGGTTGAATCAGACCAGCGAACCATCAGCCCCCTTCATGGAACCTCCATCCCAGCACAGGCTGGCACCGGGTCTTCGGTGTCATTTTCTCACTTGAGCAAACAAGTATTGACTTGTATAAGGCCATGGGTTATAACCTATGCCTCCATTTTGGGGCGGATGAACACTCATGTCCCACCTATTTTGATGTTCATCCAGGGGTGTCCTGGGTTTTGACCCACAGCCACAAAACCGGCCTTCCCTTCAAAATCCATGATCCCAAGCGAGTTCCATAGCGCCTGGCCCCACTGTCATCAAGAAATTTCCTTCAAGGCGCCCCCACGGATGCCACCGAGGTGTCCACCACTCGCGACACATCTTCCAGGACTCTGGAGGCATCGTTGCCCATGGCCCCCGATGCGCCAAGGCGATAGCAGAAGTCTCATGTGGGGGATGACTAAACCATGGCTTGCTTCCATTTGGTTAAGACCCCTGGATAAATATACATATTTCCAGTAGTGATAGATTTCCTTTAAAGCCAACAGGGGAAAATAGAAAATACTAAGCAAATGGAAGCTTGGAACTTGGCTTTGGTTTGGATGGGTATCTGAACCCCAGGTTCCACTTTTGGTTGGAGTTTTAAAGAACAAGACGACACCATGTACAGCTCTTTCTTCCAGCGGTGCAACTGGGTTCCAATTGCAGGATGCCCAATCCTCCGCAAGCCGGGGAACTGCTACCATTTGGCAACAAGGATTAAGGACTGTTTTTGAACAGACCAATTTCTTGCACCGGGTCTCTTGATACCCTGTCAGACTGGTGGTGGTAGAGGGTACTTCGTGCCAAAGAACCCTTAAATGACATGCACATAGAAGGGTTCAGCAGTGCAACTCTGTGAGAGTGAGTGTTTGGAAAGCAGAACTTGTGGGGGGTTTGTTGTAGTTGTCTGCATGTGGGTGTGTCCTATAGGAAAGAAGCAGACATGGCTGGATTCCCTTTCCGTCTCCCTAACACCATGCAAAGGAGACTCCCCATGTCAACTGCCTGGCTCGAGGCAAAGACAACCTCGGACCGCATTCGCATTTTCCAGCCGCGAACATCGGCAGTCATTCAACGAGCCAGAGGTCCTCCAGTAGTTTGAGGTTAGAATAAGGGTGCCCGATTTTATTTTTATTTTTCTGTAGTCTACTTTAGTAGGGGAACCCTGCCAACCAAAAAAGGCGTGAGAAAGGGCACTACTGGGGGACCTAGTATTGCACCCAGTGCAAAAGCTTGATCTCTCGTTGCTTTGTGGGAAAAGACACATGTTTTTTAATTACAAGTTTGCGGTTGAAGATCCAACCAAACACAGCCAAGCAGAGATTGAGAATCATTGCAAATCCTGTCTCACGTTGAAGGGAACTGCCCACTCGACTGGGCTTGCAAAACAAAGCTGAAGCATTCAGAATCACTGCGTTGAACAAGGGGCAACATGTTAAAGGACATCAGCTCCCAACACGAGAGACGCCTGAAGCAACGACAACCGGATCGAAAAATATTAGCCAATGGCGAATCATGCTGCATCTATCCGTCCTGCCAAAAAACACAATAATATGACCTTGTTTGTACTTCGAAAACATAGATTGGAGACATATCTGACATTCTAAACATTGGGCACGACATTCTATAAGATGGGCAGCAAATTCCAATTTATGGTTGCTCTATATGGCTTTCCCTTGGACTCAAGGTCCCCCAAAGACGAGACCCACACAATTGCCCAGGATGCCTTGTCTAGAGACTGATGCAAAGCTAGAAAGTACTCTGTATTCACATATCTGTGAAAGCAACTGTTCATGGCAGCCAACTCAGGTATTAATGTTTAAGGTCACTATTTGCTTCATGCCGTGCACGTCGAAACGCCAAAGAATCAACGTCCTCTCTTCCCAGTTTGGGACGCCACCTTGCAAACAGCATTGTTTTCAAACTCTCAACTGGGTCATCAACCCCTGGGGTGCTACATTTACGTTAAGCCCTTTGGGGGAACACACCCCTTTTGATACGCCGGGCAATTTTTTCCCGGGTCAACAAACCCCCCTCCTGCAGACTCTTATGAGTATCACCCATCCTGGAACCCCGGACCCTTCCAACCTTGCCCAGCATCGCGGAAAGACACGACTTGGAGAAAAAATGGTGCAGTAGATTTTATCCCTATGACTTGGTTGATTGGCTAAGCCCCCGCAGCTCGAGAAAAAAATCACGCGATGGCCTCCATTGGCATCCGGATGCCCCGCTGCCGCCGTTCGGCGGAACTGGCGGGACCGGCGGCGGCCTACGAGCGAACATGGCGGGCGCTTCTTGGCAGGCCCCTCAAAGGAACACAAAGCCAGGAGCACCCATCTTAGCAAAACTTCTCACCCAAACATGCGTGCAGGCCCTTGGAAGACTTCTTTCCTTTTGGAAAGGGCTTCTGCGAACGGCGCAAAAATCACATGTGCACCAAAGAGTCTGGGGTTCCGTCGAGCAGGCGAGCCACGTTTACTCAAACCGCTCAAATGTAAAGATCCCTCTAAAAATCCCTGTATTGCAGGTGACGTGGCAACGCGACCCCTTACAAGGTTGCTACTATTTGTCATACCAAGCGTTGCTTTGTTCAAGGGTCATGATGTTCGAGTTCAAACAGCGCAAGTAAGCCAGAAGGAATCCACTTGAGAAGGCTGCAACATGCCACACGAAAGTCAAGGAAATTGAATAGTCGAGTGCATTCAGCGTCCAAAAGTCTATTGAGTGGTGCCAGTTGAGTGCCGATCGGAACTCATTCAGTACTGTCCGTTGACCTATATATATATATATCCTTTACCGCAGCGGTCCACATGGGACCCACATACATATACGTGTGTATATATATATATATATTTGGGTGCCAGATTTGAGGCAGCAATGGAGTATTGCTGAGTGGCGTGAAATTCCGATCATCGCGAATGCTGATCTTGCTGATGCATTCTGCGCTGTTACCAAGCTGTTCTTGTTGCAAAGTTGTTCTGCGCAAACATCTTCTGCCCATTGCTATGATGCCAATTGCCTCTGCTCTGCCCTGCCCCTTTCAAGTGCAGGGACTGCAGTAGTGAACATCTGTTTGGTTTAACTACCCAGGAGGGGGTCAAACCAACACAACCCAACTACCTCGGGCCCTGCGCGGTAAACCTCTCCCTGACCCAACATTTGCCCCAGCGCAAGAAGCCAACCTCCTCTGGACCCTGGTGTCAGCCTTCAAGAGAAATCCCGTGTCAACCCCAAGGTTCCGGAGGGATCACAGGTTAGGGTCTTGAGGCCTAAAGGCCACCCAACAAAAGGATTTCATGGAGAACCTGTAGGATTCACGTGGCTTTCGGCACCTTGGGAAGACTCTGAGCCCAAGTGCATTTGGGTGTATGTGGTTGAAACTCGCATGATGGGTAAGTGAGAAGTGACTTCCCTGTAGTCTTTAGTTGCTTCAAGGTGCTTTCTTTTGGTACCTACCTGAGTTGTTCAACTGGGTGGGGTCCTAATTCAGAATTCGTAGAGCATTAATTTGGAACAACCCAGCCCGCAACGGGAACCGAAAGCGCTCCATTGTCACCCCGAGCTTCGGCCTCAACAGGCAACCCGTAGAAGATGCCGCCGGCACCAATGCCGGCCGCAACACGTCCATGGCGTTGCGGCTCGCAGTTCAATTGCCCAGAAGCGCGACGATATCTTGAAGAAACAAATCCTAGCAAGCCGCAAGGATATGACAAGAACATACTGCAGCTCCACTTTCCCAGACCAGCACTCACACCAGCTTTGGCTTTTGAGATCTTTTGAGCATGCAAGCTCGTGGTGAGATTAAGTCCTAGGGTGAGCCTTACTGCCCACTTGCAGTGTCTCAGAACTGTGCCGTCTGCTCAAAGCGGTCATGCCAAGCGACATGCGCGAGCTTCGAACTATGCAAACATTTGGATGTGTTGGCCAGTCTCGCTGATCTCAAGGTGCCAAAGTCTGTTGAAGCTCCACCAAGCTGTCTCAACATGCTGGATAGCCTTGAATTCTGAGCAGCAGCTCACATGCCATGCTCACTACCCTTCAAGCAAGAGGGATAGTATATATATGTATACATACATGCATGGGGGTGTGTCGAGACGGTGTTTCCCCAGCGTGGGTGGCTTGCTTTTGGCATCCCTTTAAAACAACCCTGAAAAACGGCGCCACCCTAAAAGGAAGACATCCGACAACCGGCTTGCACAAATATCGTTTCAACACCGGGCTGCTTCTTCTGTGTCACTGAAATCCAGAGCCACCCTCTGCAAAGCCTTCAGGATTTGAAGACATCATACGTACAGTTGGAAAATTCTACATGTTCTGGTCGCCTTTCCTGCACCGAGCTTACTAAATCCGATGTCCAACAAGGAAAGATGATTGACCAAGTCCATGAAGATCCATGACAGCTGCTTGCGTGCGAAGAATTGCCCCTGTTCAATTGGCAGCTCATCAATGTGCTTGCCCATTCCGAGCAATGCAGCCCTTCTCAACCACGGGCAACGTGTAGAAACTTCCTCATGTATGTGCTATGACGCCGTGCGTGCCTGAATGTGATGGCAAGGTGCCATCCACTTGCCATCATCTCCCAAGAACCGACCTATTGCCCCAAGCACAGTTGCTTGCACAAATTGATGGCTTGCCCGTGCTGTGGTTGGCTTGCCCTGGCCATTCACACAGCAGGGTCCCAATTTTGGGACGTACCCCAGTTGCCCGTGCCATTCGATGTCCTTGTAGAGCACCTTCAGGAACAGCATCTCCATAATGCGCACTGGCCTCTTGTCCGCATCCTGACAGTTTAACGCTGTCCCACTGGGCAGACGGGGAAATCACTGGAGCATTCTCAGGCTTCTTCGATCGGGACATGGCGGCTTTTGCTCTGAATTGTTCCAAGAGATGTGCGTTAAATATTTAGTTGAAGGGCGTGTAGCAGTTGGCTGAGTTTGTGACATACGTCGCAACACTTTGGGACCCATCCAAAGCTTCTGGCATCCTGGGAACTTTGGGGCGTGGGTCCTTTTTGGTTGTCTCCTGCAAGGGTAGTTACCCTTTTTGGGGTTGGTTTAAAGGAAAGCCAAAAGAAAACCCCCAAAAATAGTTTTGTGGTGCTAGACTTATGGAAAATCACCCAACAGCAACAAGGGATGGTACAGGCCGCTGAGGATTTTTCGTCCCAAACTGTCAAGGAGCTTAGGCTTGCCGCTTGCCGTTCTTGCTAAATGAACATCTGACCATCCCGGTAAACCTACTCAACTACTTCACCCAATGTGCCAGCCGGGGAATTGCTTGCCCATAGCCACCATTTGACAAAAACAACTTTAGAGGTTGATAAGCATCCAAATCAACCAAGTGTGGCCACTTGGGCATTTTTTACAGCACCATATTATTACTTTTTGGTCTTTGAGCCCAAGGGAACCGCC